AAAAAAAAAAAATCATTCTACTTAATCTGGATACATCTGATAGTAAAATCGGAGAAAATATATTATTGTAAAAGGGAAATTACAAACATATTTCTTGTGCTCTGGGTAGAGATAACAGAGGGTCTTCAGTTCCAAGAAGATAACTGTTACTGTTCCTTGGGTGATTTTCTCCCCTCTATTTCTCTGTTCTTTTTGGAACTCCAGTTATGCTGGCATCTGATGCATGATAATTCCGGAGAGCGTGGAGATGATGCTGACTTTCTTCTCTCCCTTCCCATATCTTTGTCTTTCAGTTCCTCTGAATTTTTAAAAAAGTTATTTAATTCTCTGTTCTGTGTTCATTCCTTATGTTATCTTTTCACAAATGCATCTAAGATTATCTTTTATATTGTATCTTTACCACTGTTTCCTCTGAGTTGTTTATTTTTTTACCTGCAAAGTGGGGAATGTGGGCTCTCAGAGAGCTTACATGCTCAGTATAAAGGTAAACTAGGAATAAAGCATTCCGGCTCAGTGCCTGTAGCACAGTGGTTATGGTGCCAGCCACATTCACCGAGGCTGTGGGGTTCAAACCCTGCCTGGGCCAGCTAAAGAAACAATGACAGCTGCAACAAAAAATAGCCGGGCGTTGTGGCGGGCGCCTATAGTCTCAGCTACTTGGGAGGCTGAGGCAAGAGTATTGCATAAGCCCAAGAGTTTGAGGTTGCTGTGAGCTGTGATGCCCTGGCACTGTACCAAGGGTGACATAGTGAGACTCTGTCTCAAAAAGAAACAAAAGAAAGAAACCTTTCCTCCACTTCTGTCTTACCAGAACCAGTGAGGGACTTGCCTATCTCCAAGCTTAGTGCTGGATAGAAGGTTTAAAACAAAACACCTCTCCTGACAATTTTTAACCACAAGCCATCCCTGAATAACTGTTTGCAATCTGAATTGGCAATACCTGGTGTTAGGGCAGAGTGCTCAGTAGATGCTCTGTGTGGGTTGAGAAAAGATTTTCTCTAGACCAAAATTAGGGTATGAAAGTATAGACTTTATTTTATCTTTCTTAAAAGAAAAGGAAGACTGAAATAGAATGAGTAAAGAGAAAAAGAGCAGGGAGACACGTGGCATGCCAAAGGAAGAATGCCTGCAGCAAGATCAAGGGCTGCTGAATTTGGGGAGCAAAGAGAAAATGTAACTGTAGCCAGATTCACAGAGGGCTGTGAATACTGTACCCACTTTTCCTACAGCAGGTTGATAAGCAGCTGCCTTTCCACTGGAGACGTATCTCAGGTGTTTCTGATCCTGTTGATTCTCCCCTGAGATATCATTTTGGCCATGATCCAGAAAAGACTCATGAACCTTGAAGATATAAAACAAATTCTAAAAGACAAGGAGGTGCTGAATGTAAAGAGAAAAGATTTACATTTCCTTTCTGTTCTTTTCAATGGTTTATGAAAACCAAGCTCCATAGGGGGCTTGCTAGGAAAAGAAGGCAGAAATCAGAGGGCTTGACTTTTAGTCCTTAATGAAAAACTGTAATTTCTCTGTCATTTCACTATAAAAACCAACCTCCTTACACCTGGGTAGTCCTGAATACTGCTAGCTAAAATTTTAAAGTGGTGTAGGATTGGTATGTCATCAGGCAACCAAATAAATACATTTCCTTTCCGGAGGAATTTACTTTTAATTCAACGTCAAAAAAACTCCTATTGACAAAATTCCAAGAAATAGGAACTCACCATCAAAATAAACTGCAAAATAATAAGACATATGTCATGCTGGGCACAGTGGCTCATGCCTATAATCCTAGCACTCTGGGAAGCTGAGGGGGGTGGACTGCTTGAGCTCACGGATTCAAGACCAGCCTGAGCCAGAGCAAGACCCCCTACCCCGCGCCCACCTCTAAAAAAGCCGGGCACTGTGGCAGGCGCCTGTAGTCCCAGCTACCCAGGAGGCTGAGGCAAGAAGGTCTCTTGAGCCCAAATTTGAGGTTGCTGTGAGCTATGACATCACTGCACTCTACCCAGGGCAACAGGCTGAGACTCTGTAAAATAAAATAAAAATAAATAAAAAGTAGAAAAAAATAAATAAAATAAAAAAATAAATAAAAGTAGAAAAACTAGCCAGGCATGGTGGGCACCTGTAGTCCCAGCTACTCAGAAGGCTGAGGCAGAAGAATCACTTAAGCCCAGGAGTTTAAGGTTGCTGTGAACTAGGCTCACAGCTAGTGCTGAGGCCACAGCACTGTGGCCTAGGCAACAGAGTGAGATACTGTCTCAAAAACAAAACAAAACAACCAATCTAATAACATCTTTATAAGAAAAAGTATGTAACTTTATTAGAAACATTAATGGAGGTGGGCAGTGCCTGTGGCTCAGTGAGTAGGGCTCCAGCCCCAAATACGAAGGGTGGTGGGTTCAAACCCGGCCCCTGCCAAACTGCAACAAAAAATAGCCAGGCATTGTGGCAGGGTGCCCGTAGTCCCAGCTACTCGGGAGGCTGAAGCAAGAAAATTGCCTAAGCCCAAGAGCTGGAGATTACTGTGAGCTGTGATGCCGTAGCACTCTACTGAAGGCAACAGGATAAGACTCTGTGTCTAAAAAAAAAAAAAAGAAAAGAAACATTAATAGAGAAGTAGACCATGTTCTTGAACTGGAAAATTGAATTTCATGTAGATGCTGATTTTATCCAAACTGATCTGTAGATTCAATTGAGGTCCATTTATGATCTCAAAGGAATTTTTATTGGTGGAATCTGACAAACTGATTCTAAAATTTACATCGAAGAGCAAAGGCCAAGGATAGATCTTAGGGGCTACTTCCCAAAGGAGAAAGGTGTAAATAAAATGACCAGTGGAACAAAATAAAAAAAATGTGACTTATCCAACAGATCCAGCACCGTAGGCAAGGGGGCGCCTCACAGCTATGCACAGTCATCTGGCTACATCTCAAAAACATAAATACTGAGTGAAACAGCAAGTCACAGAACAATAAACTCGCTATGGTTTCATCCATATAAAATTTAAAAATGTGCAAAACTGACAAACACAGTAAAACTATAAATCAAAGCAAGGGAATGACTGAGACAGGACGGCATAGGGGAGCACATAAGGAACTTCAGAGGAAATGTTAAGAGTAACTTCCTCAAATGGGGTAGGGGGCGTTTATTTAGTATCTCCTTACTAATAAAAAGGAAACAATGAAAAGATATTCTGGAGTTAGAGGGGTAATGAGGCTGCTAACGCCTCTGTGTTGGAAAGAGTAATGCAGCTGCCCCAATATCCCTGGCCAGGGAAAAGCCTGTCAGAGGGTGTGTTCCCTGAGGGTCCCTGGGGATTGGGGGAGCCTCCTAATTCCTGGGAGGACTCCCCAGCAGTATCTGTGGACTCCCATCTAACCCGACTTTTGGTCCAGTCCCTCACCCCTGCCCTTTCCAGTGCCCAAGATCCAGAGCTTCTGTGACTTAGTTTCTCCTTCCTTAACACCAGCCCCAGGGGCAGTGCCTGAGGGAGGGCACAGTGCGCCTAGCTCTGCACGCCAGTGCACCACTGCACCTCACCTTCCGTGGTACTGAAACTCCTGGGCCTCTCCTGTGTGTGGGAGGCAATCTGCTTGCTTCTCAGTCCCTCCCTTTGGAAACACATAATTTCAATTTTTAATTCCCTGCTAAGAGAGTAACTAAGCCTCTATCTATAATCCCTCTTCCAAATGTTGTCAGGTTCTTTGGTTTACAGCTGTCTCCTTTCCTGTTTTCTTTCCTCTTGTTTAAGTACGGATCTTTTTTATTTCTTTACTATCATTTTAGTAAAATCCCAAGAGAAAACAGAGATAAACTCGTGTTAAAGCCTGCAACGTTTAACCAGCAGGCCCTCTAGTTACTATATTTACACAAAAATGTTTAAAAAGCAGCTCCAGAAGAGTCAACAGAGAACAGGCTCAGGCCTCTCAGCACCATCCTCACCATCCTTCCCAGATGTCTGCACATCCTCAGCCCATTTATTTGCCTTGATTTTTTTCGCACTCACTTTCTTCAGCTATGCAGAGGTGAAGGTAAAAGCACAAAAACCTGGATTCAAACTCTGCCTGGCTCTTGCATTTACTCCACTGTGATCTTAACTCTCAAAGCTTTAAGGTTTTTACCCACAAAATAAGGTGTATAAGGGCTGCCCAGGGTGGCAGGTGACCTAAGAGGGGGTCTGTGAGACTGCTGTTACAGATAATACTTCTAGTGATACAATTCTGAGCCTGGGAAAGAATGTTTACAGGCTTCACAAGAACATCCCCACCCCATCCCTGGCCACTCTGAGCCTTGGGAATTCATGGTTTCTAGGCCTGACAACCAGAAGAACCAGAAACAGCAGCCCCAGCAACAAAGTGAGGAACCAGAAATCCCACAAAGAAGGAGTGAGAACAAAGTCAGCAAAGGGGCAGCTAGGCTAGTCGAGAAGCACCCCCCTCCACTTTTTCAGGGTTACCAAGAGAGATTTTATTTAGGAAAAACAGAGAAAGTTTAGAGCTCTTCCAAAGAGTTGGAAGTGGGTCCCTCATGAAGGAGAAAAGTTGAGAGAGACCAGGCTGAGCAGCCCTTGCCATACCTCTGTGCTCCTCTGCCAAAAGAGGCAGTCGCAGGGCCCAAGCCCTGGACACACAGGAGTCCAAGCCGGGCAGAGGCAAGGCCAAGAGAATAAAGAAATAAAGCAAGGGTATGACTGAGACAGGGCAGCCTAGGGGAGCATAGAAGGAACTTCAGAGGAAATGTTAAGAGTAACTTCCTCAAATTGAGTAGGGGGTTTATTTAGTATCTACTTACTAATAAAAAGGAAACAATGAAAAGATTCTATATGTAGAGGGGTAATGAGGCTGCTAATGCCCGTGTGGCCTGGAGTTGCCCCCAGACAAGCAATAAGGGCCACCCTGATTTCCCTCGAGTCTGGGGAAATCAGACCTTCATACCCCCACACTTCCCCTCCTCCCTGTACAATTCTGGTTCTTTCTGGAGTCAGGAGGCCATGAGTCCCATATCAGCTTTGGTCTGGAAGGTGATCCCATCCCCAGGCAAGGGGGAGTCCAGGAAAGGCCAGAGCCAGACAAGAGCCCAGCGGGGCCCCAGGGCTGCCTGCAGGTTGTGGCAGAGGCCCAGGTCATAAGAGTGCTGGCCCCGAGCCCACTCCCACGTGGTCTGGCCCCGAAGCAGCAGCATCCCATGGAAGAGCAGCCCAGCCCCGCACAACAGGGCACCCGCCACACACGTGTCCATCACGAAGGCCAGGGCAAACTGAGCCAGAGACACACGGCCTACAAGAAGATGGCAGAGAGTCAGGGAGCAGAAGTCAGGCCCAGCCCCTCCAGAGCCCAGCCCCCACCCTGCTGCCACCGGTGCCCCCATCACTAAGCAAGGATTATTCCCCCGCTTGGCACATCCTGAGTCAATATTTGGTGGCCAGCCCATGCTGGGAGGCAGCAGCACAGCAGTGTACCTGAAACTTGGTGAGCACCTTGTAAGTATGGGATGTTGTGCCAGGGACTGTGGATGCTGGAATGCACACGGCACACAGCACCTCTGCCCTCAGGAAGCTCACAGACCAAGTTAAAAAGGTCATTTCTCAGTTACTCAGTTACAGCTGTGATGTGTGTCACATGGAAAAGTACAGCATCTTTAACCATCTTGGCCCACAGTGGGCAACAGAGACCTGCTGAACTAATGAACTAGGAGACACCATGGAACATTATGCCAAGTGAGAGAAGCCAAACACAAAAGGTCACATATTTATGATCCCAATTATGTGAAATGTCCTGAGCAGGCAAATCCATACAGACAGAAAGTAGATTAGCAGTTGCTGGGGGCTCAGGGATTAGGGAAGAACAGAGTGGCTCCAAGTGGCCACAGCGTTTCTTTTTAGGGTGCAAATGTCCCAGAATTAGGATGGTGGTTGCACTACATGGTGGGTTTCCCAAAAGCCACTAAGAATCATACACTTTAGTGAAAATGATGAATTTTACATTATGTAAATTTTGCCTTGATGAAAAAGAGAGCCCTTGGGGGGAAATGCCATTTAAGAGGTGGGAGGAGTAGGCATCATCTATTCTGCTAAAGTAAGAAAATGTTCTGTCTGGAGGCAGGACAGAGGTACCTTCAGGACAAGCGAGTGGCTGCATGAGGGTCCAGAAGCTCAGGAGAGCAGCTCAGCAGGGGGTATCAGGGTGGCTGCAAAGCTGAGGTTGCCATGGATCCCCCAGAGTGTGTCAATGAGATGAGAACCACATCAAGACCTGAGACAAGCAAATCGGGTCCTGGTTTTTTATGAGGGATCAGATGAAAAAGAAAGCAAAAAGGAAGGCAGGCATGCCTAAGTCTAAGCTGTCAGTGACGCCAGGAATAGGATGCTTCATGGAGGTTGCTGGTCAGCAGTTTTGAGTCTAGAAGTTCTCACCAGGCAAGAACTCAAAAATTCCTTCATGGCGGTTCCTGTGGCTCAGTGAGTAGGGCGCTGGCCCCATATACTGAGGGTTCAAACCCTGCCCTGGCCAAACTGCAACAAGAAAATAGACGAGCCTTGTGGCGAGCACCTGTGGTCCCAGCTATTCAGGAGGCTGAGGCAAGAGAATCGCCTAAACCCAAGGGCTAGAGGTTGCTATGAGCTGTGATGCAATGGCACTCGACTGAGGGTGACAGAGTAAGACTCTATCTCATAAAAATAAAATAAAATAAAATAAATTCCTTCAGAGTTTGTGAAGACAGAGGCCCTGGGGTGCCATGGCAGTCTTGGAGGACAGTTGAGGCAGAGGCTAGGCTAGAGCAGGAGGAGGGACGAGCAGCCAGGGTCTGCGCAAGACCTTTGGGAGGCCTAGAGGGAGAAGGCAAGAGCTAGAGGAAGATGTGAGGGGAAGAGAGGGTTTGCACAAGTGGGGGAACCCCACAGAAAGAACAGGAACGCAGAAGGACAGCAGATGCCAAAGCTGAGGCCTCCAAGCCAGGAAGAGGGCCTGGACACAAGAAGCCAGGCAGTCATCCAGGCTTGGAGAGTTGAAAACAGGACAATTTTGGATGTCCCATCTGACATCTTATTTTTTCCGTGATGGAGCCTGGAGGGCAGGACAGGAGGGAAGACTTGACTGCAGTCATTAGGGAAGTAAGCTCATGAGAAAACAGGGTAGCCAGGAAAGCTGAGGGCCTGAGAGGGCAGCAGCCATGAATGTGGCCTGGAACCAACCTGCCTTGGAGTACCACGTGTCTCTGGCCGCTCTCAGCACCCAGGGACAGACACAAAGGCAGGAAGCCACAGGGGATAGAAGATGAGTAGGAAGTTTGATGCTGGCAGGAGAGTAGTGAAAATGAAGGTCCAATGCCAGACATGGGGTGGCGAAGGTGGGAAGGTAAAGGTCAGGGCCACAAGCCTGCGGGCCCAGGAGCTCATGGAGCAGGTATCACGGAGCACAAGAGTAGCGGGTAGACCAGAGAAGAGGTAGGTAACAGAAAAATGGTCAAAAGATGGGTGGTTTGGGGATTCTGACAAAAGCTGCAGTGTGAACACAGGACTAGGGGAATTAAGTACAGTGGAGGAAGGTCAAGAGCTGACCTATCTGGATATTGAGGGGGCTATTTGCACAGACTGTCAGACATCCATAATTCCAACAGGGCCCAGGACTGAGAGAGAGTCTGGGTGGTGCAGCTGGAGGCTTCTGTGTTGAGGGAGAGTGGCAGACCCTGCTGACCAAGCGACGTGGGGTAGAGGGAAGTGCAGCTGATAGCTGGGACTCAGTGGAGCCATAAGCCATCAAGGAGAGTGCAGAGGCCTGGTCAGGGTGGACAAAGGAGGGCACTGTCAACCCAGCACAGCTCCCAAGGCCTATTCTAAGCTGCAGAGTGAGGGTCCTTGGTACAAAGCTGGGTTTAGATAGGATGAGAAGGCACAGCAACTCCATAGAGTGGCTGGGGAGGTTAATAACAGTAAGACAAAGTTACAGCAGGGACCATGGAAGGATCAGGAGGAAGGAGTCAGGGGTAAGAAAGCCCAGAGCATCTGGGGGGAGAGAACAAAGAGGATGAAGGGCCAGTGGGAGTGTATCTAGGGTCGTGTCCCAGGAAAGAGGAGCATACATGTGTCCAGAACACAGCATTTCCATCAGCCTCCAGATTCAAGTCTTGCCCCCCAACTTCCAGGGACTCAGCCTACTCCTGTCTGTCACTTTCACTGGCTCCCCACTGCCCAATTAAAAGGGGCCATCTGTTCACACCAATACTTGGGGCCCTCCATTACCCAGTCCTAACCTGCCATCCTAGCCTTAATTTTCACAGTTCTTTTTTTTTTTATTTTTTTTTTGAGACGGAGCCTCAAGCTATCCCCCCTGGGTAGAGTGCCGTGGCATCACGCTCACAGCAACCTCCAACTCCTGGGCTCAAGCGGGTCTCCTGCCTCAGCCTCCCAAGTAGCTGGGACCAGAGGCGCTGGCCACGACGCCTGGCCATTTTTTTTTTTTTTTTTTTTTTTGGTTGCAGCCATCATTGTTGTTTGGCGGGCCCGGGCTGAGGATTCAAACCCGCCACCTTGGGTGTACATGGCTGGCGCCTTAGCCACTTGAGCCACAGGCGCCGAGCCAATTTTCACAGTTCTTACCGAATTGCCTTCGCTACTCCCTGCCCAGCCTCCAAGCCCTTGTTCATGCTGCTTTCCTCTTAGAATGCCCTCCCCTCCATGTTCTCCCACCATCCCAACCCCCCACATGGTCTCCCATGAGTCTCCTCCTCTGCCAATAAAATACAAAATTCTCTGTATTTTACAGTGCTGCATACCCAGATAAATATCAGGCAGACCTCACCCCATAGATGACACTGGGATTGGGTCCCCAGGATCAGAAATCTCATCTCTCACCAGAAGGGGCCCTACTTCCCCCACCCAGCACAAGGGCCTCTCCCTCTCTGCAGAGGCCTCCTGGGCTCCCCACCTGTGAGCAGCATGAGCCAGGGAAGCAGGAGGAGGGCAGCGGTGTGCAGTGGTGAGTGGGCTCGCAGCAGGGCTGACAGGGCAGGGCCCAGCAGCACAGAGATGTGGAGCAGGACACCAGCGCCGTGCAGCAGCAGACACAGGAAAGGCCGGTAGTTGCCAAAGCCCACACAGCGGCCCAGCAGGCGGCAGTGGTGGTCCCGGCGAAGGACACAGACTCGGCAGGCAGAGCAGTGCCCACTGCGTGGCGGCACCTGGCTTTGGCACTGGTAGCAGTAACTATGAGAAGGAACCACAGGGTCAGTTCCTTCCACAGCTCAGAGAGCCCCATATCATGCCCAGGGTCAGCCCCTGGGCCTGTCCTGGGGAAGCAGGAACCTGCTCAGGCTGGCTCAGCCTCAGGTTCTTTGCAGGTAAATGCAGGCTGAATAAGATGTCCCTGGCCCTCCACTGTAGCACTGCAGGCTGAGATCGATTCCTTCCCAGTCCTAAAGCCTTTCTCTGGCCACTACTATCCAGCAGCAACTTCTCCCTTTCTCCATAGTTACCACCTTGTCAAGGTCACCATGGACTCCCCTCTGGACTAGTCTCTGATTCCACCTTTACCCCTCCTAGACTCACTCCAGCAGCCAAATGGATCCTTCTGAAACCTAAGTCATGACCCTCCTATGCTCAAAACTTGCCAGTGGCTCTATATTTCTTCTCTAGTAAAAAGCAAAGCCTTCAATGTCCTATAGGGTTCTTAAGCCACTGACATCTCTTCCCCTCTCTCTTTCCACTCCAACCTGGCCTTCCTGCTGTTCCAGGAACTTGCAAGGCACCCAAGAGTCTCAGAGCCTTTCCATCACCTGTTCCCTTTGTCTGGAATACTCTTCTCTTGGATTCCCACATGGCTAACTCCCCCACCTTCCCCAAGTTTTTGCTCAAATAACTCTTTCTCAATGAGGTTCACCTATTTCTTATTATTTTCAAAATTAATTTATTTAAAAAACTTTTTGTAGAGACAAAGTCTCGATATGTTGCCCAGGCTGAAATGCAGTGGCTATCATCATTGCACAATGCAGCCACCAACTCCTGGACTCCACAGATCCTCTATAATAGCTGGAACTACAGGTGTATACCTATCAATTGTAAATTTGTTGATTTTAGTTGTGCATACTTATGGCGTACAAAATGATGTTATGGGCTCAGTGCCTGTAGCTCAAGCAGCTAAGGTGCCAGCCATATACACCGGAGCTGGCGGGTTCAAATCCAGCCCAGGCCTGCCAAGACAACAATGACAACTACAACCAAAAATAGCCAGGCGTTATGGCGAGTGCCTGTAGTCCCAGCTACTTGGGAGGCTGAGGCAAAAGAATGGCTTAAGCCCAAGAGTTGGAGGTTGCTGCGAGCTGTGACACCACAGCACTCTACTGAGTGTGACAGCTTGAGCCTCTGTCTCAAAAAAAAAATGATGTTATGACTTGTGAATACCACCTGAAATACAGTAGAACCTCCATAGCTGACCACCTCCCTACACCGACCACCTCAAGTTGACCTAATTTTCATAGACTGATATGCAGCACACACATGTGTCAGTACAGTAGGCCTAGTTCCTTATGTTGACCACCTCTGTATGCTGACCAGTTTGTTACAGTTCTTGGGTGGCCAACTTACAGAGGTTCTGCTGTGATTAAATCAAGCCAATTAACATATCCATTGTTTCAAAATACTCATAAGAATTAACCATCTATTAAAAACTGAAACTTGGGGCCATGCCCATAGGGCACCAGCCCCATATACCAAGGATACTCAGTGGGTAGTGGGTAGGGCACCAGCCCCATATACCAAGGGTGGCAGGTTGGAACCCACCCGGCCAAACTGCAACAAAAAATAGCTGGGCATTGTGATGGGCACCTGTAGTCCCAGCTACTCAGGAGGCTGAGGCAAGAGAATCGCCTAAGCCCAGGAGTTGGAGATTGTTATGAGCTGTGATGCCACCGCACTCTACAGAGGGCGACAAACTGAAACTGTCTCAAAAAAAAAGTGGGGGGAGCGCCTGTGGCTCAAAGGAGTAGGGCTCCAGCCCCATATGCCGGAGGTGGCGGGTTCAAACCCGGTCCCGGCCAAAAACTAAAAAAAAAAAAAAAAAAAAACCCTGAAACTTGCACCCCTTTAGAGTCCTGCTCTACTTTTGTTTCCAAACCAACATCCTTTTGTAATATGGTATATAATTTATTATTCCTACAGTTTATCGTCTGTCCTCTCTCCCACTGAAATCAGTTCCTGGAACAGTACCTTGCACACGGTAGATGCTTGGTAAGTATCTGTGAGTGAATAAATCAGTCATTCTCTATCCCAAGTTCTAAAGGAGTTTCTGGTTCTAATAAACCAGATTCTAATATAAACTGGTTCTAACATCTCAGGTCTTGAGGTCCCTCCCCCTGTCCGAGGCACCCGCTTCTCCCCGCCAGATCCCGCGCCCCACTCACGCCCAGCCCTGGCCCAGGCCGCGGCCGGCCAGCATCACGCCCCGGATGCTAGGGTCCGAGCGCAGAAAGAGCCCCACGTTGCCCAACAGGTTAAGCAGCTGGAAGGTGGCCAGCGCGAGCTGCAAAGCCCGGGCCAGGGGTCCCAGCGGGGGCGGCCCGGGACCCAGCACCAGCACGTAAGCCAGCTCCAGGCCCACGGCCACAGCCCACAGCAACGTGAGCACGAGAGGTAGCCGCGCGGGCGCCCCCTCTGTGCTCGTAGCCGCCCAGGGCTGCCCCATGGCCTGGACCCACCGGCTGTCCGAATCCCAGGACTCCACCGCTTCCGTGTTAGGGCGGGGATAGCGGGCAACGGACGTCTGCCACGACCAATAGAAGCTCTGAAAGGGTGAGGCAAGCGCTCAGGCTCTGAGGGCGGGGCCAGCATATGAGGAGAGGCGATTGGACCGCGAACGAGATGGGCGGGGCTTGAAATCCCGTTGAGGCCAGAGCCGGGTGACACAGCTAAGTTATCGACCCGCCCTCCCTCGGAGGCTCCGCCCCTCGCGCGGAAGCCTATCTGGCTGGTGTCACTCCCTGGCGCGCTCTGTGGATTGAGTTGCACCCGCAGCGGCGTCGGGGGTTCCCGGCTCAGCACATTCTCCCCCGCTCCCTGCAGCCTCCCCGATATTTATAGCCCTTCCTCGGCCCATCCAGCTGGCTCAGAGCCGCTCCCCATGCTCAGGTGTCTCCCTTCATCATCCCAGGAAACATTAAAACAGCTCGGTGCCTCTGTGTTTCTGGCTGCGAAATGGGGATAGGGCTCTGTTTCCCACCAGCAAGGCACTGGGAGAGCGTCGAGAGAGCCCAGGTACAGCCTTTAGGGCGGCCTGCAACCACTCATTATCGTCATCTCCATTGTATAGAGGAGAAAACAGACTCAGAGAGGGCCTGTGGTTTTCCTAAGGTCACATAGCGCCCAAGCGGCTGAGCCAGAAGGCGAACCCTTGATCTCTGCCTCGAGATCTACCTCCAGTACCCAACATTTCTGCAGTCCCTGGCCCCAGGGCAACCTCTCGCTGGGTCGGGACCCAGTCTCCCACAGCCCTATCCGGTCCCTCCCTCCTTCCCCATATTTAGTGGGAATCCGATCCGGGGCTGGGCCAGGCCCTACTTAACCCAGCCTGGGTGTCCAGAAATGCGCCGAGCGGAGCAGAGCAGAGCTGGGAGCCAGAGCAAGATGATGATGGTTATGCAGCCCGAGGGTCTGGGGGTGGGAGAGAGATCCTTTGCTGGCGGCGGCGAGTACATGGAACAAGAGGAAGACTGGGACCGCGACCTGCTGCTGGATCCAGCCTGGGAGAAGCAGCAGCGGAAAGTGAGTGCTTGCCCATTTCTTGACAGCAAAACTGAGGCCTGAGAGTCCAGGCGGTTTGTCCTGGGCATCTCAGCAGGTCAAGGGCAGGGCCCTGTGCTCGACCTAGACTGCCAATCCTCAGTTTAGGCTCTGCCCATCAGCCCTCTGCTGTCCCCCAGGAATGGAAGGGAGGGCTGGAAGCCCTCATGAGAGGTTTACAATGACAAGGGGTTTAGAATGAACCCTCCAGGATTCATTCCCTGGGGCCCACTGTCTCACTTCTGGTGAAAATGGCAAAGCCCAGGAGATCCAAGTTTGGGAGGTTCAGGAAGAAGAATCTTTCTCCCCATCACTCTCTAGTTAAATATTCCCAGAACCCACCCTGAGGGCTTGCAGCCAGGCAATTAGTGAATCTGGGAATGTGGGGAACAGGAGACTATCTCAGATTCCATCCCACCCTCTGTCTCTCCGGGGTGGGGTCCATAGTCACTCTACCTCATTTGACAGGTGAGGAAACTGAGGCCCAGAAAGGAGCAGACATAGACCCTGAATCATATACTGTCAGAAAACAGGACCCCCCAAACCTGATCTTTGTCCCTTGCCCCACCCCCATTCTTTCTCAAGCTCTCCTCCCTGTCTCAGGGGCCCTGAGTCTGCTGAAAAGGTCACAGGTCAGGAAGGAGGGGAGCCTTGGGTCCCCTTACAGAGTAACCTGACTCTCCAGCCAGATGGACACTTCGTGCTGAGGCAGCATCTTGGGAGAGCTAGAGAGGGGCACATGGGCAGCTGCTGCCCAGGCCCAGCCTGTTGGGCATCAAGGCGACCTCCTTCCCTGAGCTATTTTCACTCCCAGACTTTCCCAAGTGGAGGAGGAAGGACACCTGGGTTCCCAAAGAGAAAATAATCCAGGCCAGAGTAAGAAGTTTGGGGAGTGGCAGGCCAGGGGTAGGGAGGGCACCATGACATCACTGGACCCGCCTCAGCATTCACCAACAGTGTATGACGCCAAAAAAAGACAGTACTTAGGTGCTTGGTGAAATTTGCAGGATCTGAGAATCCCAGAATTTAGAATCAGAGCACTTCCCTTCCGCTAGGTTAGATGACAGGAGATGACTCTAGGGACTGGGAGGCTCAGCTGAGTCTGCTGGGGTGTCCTGGATGATGCACCTCCCCCCAGGCTCCCCCTGCACCTGTCTCTGCGTATGGCTGCTATCCCAGGTTTGGCAATTTCCCAGTGATGTCATCTCTGTCCCTGGCTCCAGCTGCCACCTGTTCTCCAATAACTCCCATTCCCCACCCACCCACCCAGACCTCTCCCAGATCCAGGTCTGCATGCCCCTCGTATGACACGTGCCAGTCTGTGACTGGCGTTTTTCACTTAACCAAGTATTGGAAACATCCTTTCATCCCTACTTACAGTATCCAGCACATCCATTCATTCTAAGGCTGCACAGTATAGATAAATCTCTCTCTAAATCAATCAGCATACCCCGTAGTTGGATATTTGGGTCATTTTTTCTCACCTGGCATTGTTTACCACAAGGTGGTAATAAACATCCTTGTGCTCAGCTTTAGCTCTACCCCTTCCCTGCTCCCTGATGCTCCCTGTGTCACCAGTGACTCTTCCATCCAAGAGCTTTCTTCATTAAGTCTTGGAGCACTCTTGCCTCTTACTACCAGATGCCTGAGTCCTCTTCATTCAACCTCACACAAAAGCATTCATTTAATGAATATTTCTTAAGGAGTTCATGCTGACCAGACGCAGTGGCTCACATCTGTAATCCCAGCACTTTGAGAGACTGAGGTGGGAGGATTGCTATAATGTAAGACCGGCTGAAGAACACAGTAAGACTCCATCTCTACAAAATATAAATTTTTAAAAAAAGAGGTCTGAATCTCAGCACTGTTTTCTGTGCTGGGATTCAGAAAGAGACAAAGTAAAGCCCCTGCCTCAAGAAGCTTACATTCCAGCAAGGACAGTTGTTTCTGTCTCCTCCCCCTAGTTCTCCTCACTGCACCCTTCCTCTCTCGCCCTGTGGTCCAGTCATCACCTCCTCACTTTTCCCTTCTGCTCTGCCTAGCCATTCATCCCCACGCTGCAGCCAGATCAAACTTTCTAAAACATAATTCTGCCCACTCCCCTCCTGCCTGAGGCTTCCCTGACTCCCTGTTGCAGTAAGGATCAAGTTCAAACTCCTAGGCTTAGCACCCAACATCGTGCATGACCTGGCCCCTGCTGCTCCTCCGGCCCGCCTCTCACCACTTACACCCCAACACTCCCAGCTTTATTCCAGCAGTGCCCAGAGAGCTGAAGCCCCACAAATGTAGCAGCTGTTCTCACTGCCAGGCACTTGCCTGAGTGGCTGCTCCTGCTTGCAGTGCCCTTGCCTGCCCTTCCCTGCCTGAATGCCTCCTGCTCCTCCTTCACAGCTCCCGTCAAATATTAGCCCCACCTCATCTGAAGAACCCCTCTCACAGATCCCTCGCAGGTTGCTCCCAGCACTTCACAGACCAACATGACTCTCTGATTGACTGTGAGCTCCTTTGGGGCTGAGACCACATCTCACTGAGTCACATTTGGCCCAATCCAGACCTACCACTTCCAGACCCTGAGCATCTCAGACTCCAGGATTGGAAGGAACTGCAGAAAATCCCACTGCCCTCTCCACTGCTCACATTCCCATCAAGAAGTACTCACATGCCTCAGTGGCAGGAAGCTCACTACCCCCCCCCTTAGCAATGACAGCCCCTCAAGTATTTAAAGGATCATCTCTCATGTCCAGATCCCGCACATCTGGCAAGCTGGCCTAAAGAAGGAAAGCTGAAAGAATTCTAAATGGCTTCCAGGGTCACCTCCCTATTAGTATCTATTTGTGGTGGGGGAATGCTCTGAATTCTAGAATCCTGCCTGGTTGGAAGAAGGACCTGAAACAGCATAGTGACCCCTTCACTGTACAAATGAGGAGACCAAGCAGAGAGTGGGCAGTTCAGCTAGGCCTGAAGCCCACCTATGGACTCTTCCAAGGATTCCACAACTAATAGCAGAATTCAGGGCTCTTGGCTTGGTAGGTTGGCAGAAACTTGTGTACCAGGCTCCAGGTCACCCCCTTCCCCAGCTCTTTACCACCCTGACCCTCTCAGAAGGAGGCTGAGGCTAACTCTGAGGGCCTGGTTGGCTAGTCCTCTATAGCCTGAAAAGCACATTCACACTGGGTCTATGAACTTGAAGGCCAATTTACAGCAGCCCTGGGAGGGAGTTGGGGCTGAGAGAATAATAAGGCAGGTTCACAGTTCCTTAGGCAAAAAACCCTTAGAGCCAGGTGAACTTTAATCCAGAATTTTTCAGGTCGCCTGGCACTAGCCCCTATACCTCAGAGAGCCCCACATTCTGGAATACGTTAAAATTTTCTAAGCCCTCCTCCAGTGCTCAAGACCAATCAAGGCTGGAGTACCGGTGGTAGAGAGCCCCAAGTCTAAAGTGGGACATGCACAGATCTTGGAGCCCATTTCTCCCTTCCCAGGAGAACTAAATCTCAGAGAGGGAAAAGAATTGGCCCAGGATGCACAGCAAGTCAGTGGCTGGCCTGGTACTTGAATCCAGACCTTTAGGCTGTAAGATAGCGGTTCTCAACCTGTGGATTGCGACCTGAACAACCCTTTCACAGGGGTCACCTAATATCAAATATTTACATTATGAATCATAACAGTAGCAAGAATTATAGTTATGAAGTAGCAACGAAAATAATTTTATGGTTGTGGGTCACCACAACACGAGGAACTGTATTAAAGGGTTGCATCATTAAGAAGGTTGAGAGCCACTGCTCTAAGACTTACCCTGCCCAAGGAGCCAGGACTGTGTCCCACATCCCCCAGACACAGTCCCAGGGTCTGAGTGCTGCCCTCTGCCCCCAGACCTTCACTGCCTGGTGCAACTCACACCTGCGCAAGGCAGGCACCCAGATTGAGAACATCGAGGAAGATTTCCGCAATGGCCTCAAGCTCATGCTTCTCCTGGAGGTCATTTCAGGTGAGGGTTGATCCAGCGTTCATGGGCCCTAGACTCGGGGGAATCGAGAGGGCTGGGGGAGCAGGGCTGCAGAGAGCTGGAGGGGACTTGAGGGGAAGGAGAGAGATTGGGGACAATGTCTTCAGCTGCCTCTCATGACCTTTGACCTCTCCTCTTATACACAGGAGAGAGACTGCCCAGGCCAGATAAAGGGAAGATGCGTTTCCATAAAATTGCCAATGTCAACAAAGCCCTGGACTTCATTGCCAGCAAGGGAGTTAAGCTGGTATCCATCGGTGCTGAAGGTGAGGAGATGGCTAGAGGGGGCCTGGACAGGGAGTGGGGGGCTCGCCTGACATCAGCATGTCACCTCTGTGAGCCTCAGTTTCTTTATTTCAGTGATGGAGCTAATCATCTCTGCCTCTCGCAGGAGAGACTACAAAGAGTGAATGTGCCCAAAGTGCCAGCACAGCACCCATCATACCTGCAAGGTGTCATTTACCATAACAACAGATGCTGGGTGCCAGTGCTGGGCTGGGGACAAGGGCCAGAGAGCTGAGTAAGGGAGAAGGTGAGCTGAGGCCTAGAGCACTGGCCTTGAATGCCAGGCAGAATCTGTCCTGTCATCTCCACCCCGCAGAGATCGTTGACGGGAACCTGAAGATGACCCTGGGTATGATCTGGACCATCATCCTTCGCTTTGCCATCCAGGACATCTCGGTGGAGGGTGAGCAGTGGGGAACGAGGTGGGGTGAGAGGGTGGCCCCTACCCCTTCCCAACTAATGGTCCCGTCCCACCCTCACCCAGAAACCTCAGCCAAGGAAGGCTTGCTCCTATGGTGCCAGCGGAAGACAGCACCATACCGCAATGTCAACGTGCAGAACTTCCACACCAGGTCTGTCCCTGGTCACCAAATGCACCAGGCCTCTGTTGGGTGCTAGGCTCAGAAAGGAGCCCTCCCTGGTCAGTGAGGGGCACAGAGCTGGCCCCTGTCACAAGCCACAGTTGGGAGGGAAAGGTCACAGCCAAGTTCCTGGAACAGTGTCTGAAAATAGGAGTCAGTAACTGTTGAATTGAACAGAATTGAATCCAGAGGGTTATAGAGATTCTGGAAGAAGGAGTGATTGAGACATCCCTAGAGGCTCAGCACCTGTAGCACAGTGGTTATGGTGCCAGTCACATACACCAAAGGTGACAGGTTCAAACCCAGCCCCAGGCCAACTAAACAACAATGACAACTGCAATAAAAAATAGCCAGGTATTGTGGTGGGAGCCAGTAGTCCCAACTATTTGGGAGGCTGAGACAAGAGAATCATTTAGCCCAATAGTTTGAGGTTGCTGCAAGCTGTGATGCCACAGCACTCTACCAAGGGCAACATAGTAAAACTCTGTCTCAAAAAAAAGAGACCTTCCTGGAAGGGCATTCCAGCTAGAGGGAGTCTAGAGGGCAAAAACATTTAGAAACTGGGCTGGTATAGGCATAGGTGTGTGAGGGAGCCCTGGCGAGCTTGCAGGAGATGGTCCAAGTTGGTAATGAAGGTCTCACATGCCTAGCTAAGCTAATGTACTTCACTCCATTACAGATGAAGCTGTCCTGCAGGGGGCTCCTGGGCTAAGGGGAGGACTGGGCCTCACCTAGAACCCAGGCCTCACCCTCCTTCTCTTTGCCCAGCTGGAAGGACGGCCTGGCCCTCTGTGCTCTCATCCACCGACACCGCCCTGACCTCATCGACTATGCCAAACTGCGTAAGGTAGGCCTCTGCCACCTTGTCCCTCACTCCCACCCCAACTCCATGACCTCTGCCCTCAGCTGACCTTTCACCCCCACACATACCCATCTAGGATGATCCCGTTGGCAACCTGAACACTGCCTTTGAGGTGGCAGAGAAATACCTGGATATCCCCAAGATGTTGGATGCAGAAGGTGAGAGTGAGCCTACTGTAGGCGACAACTGCTTTCTCACCAGTGGGCACGTGCACCTGCTGCACCTTTGCTCTCCTCATCCCTCCTCCTGAGCACTCTGTGCCGACTCTGCTCCCTGCTCAGCATCCCTCCTGCTACGGCCCCTTTCTCCAAAAGCCCTCTGTTTTGTCCCTTGCCCTGCCCTCTCCTGCTTCTCCCACCCCACCACCACCTCACAACCCAGTTACCTGGGTTGCCTGGGATAATGTTGATCCCCCAAGACTGGTAGCTCTTCTGGGTCCTGAGGAAGGTGTTTAGGCGACTGAAGCAGCAAGTCCTCTCTGAGCACTATGCCAGCAAGGTATCCTGGCTGTGCGGGCACTGATGGGGCGAGACCTGTTCTGTCTCTGAAGAGCTTTTGGACTTGGGGAAAACATAGACAGACAAATGGAGTTACAGGATGATTAGAGGCATAAGGCAGTGTGACTTGTCCCCCATGAGGACCATGGTGGCTGCCCACTCACCCACTTACCTGCCACAGGGGGAGGTTGTTGGGCCCTGGGGTGATCAGAGAGGGTTTCAGGGAAGAGGAAGGTGCTGGGCTTGGTGTAGCTGGCAGCTGGTGGCCACAAATAGATGTCTCCACGCCCTCCCACACTGGGGGAGTTCTCTGCTTGGGTGGTGCCTGAGCCCATTCCCCACCCTGGCCTTGACCAATACACACTTCATTACCCTCCCCCAGACATCGTGAACACCCCAAAGCCAGATGAGAAGGCTGTCATGACCTACGTTTCCTGCTTCTACCATGCCTTTGCTGGGGCTGAGCAGGTGAGGGGGCCTTGCTGCTGCTGCCTAGGCTGGACTATGCACAAGAGGGCCAAAATTGCAGCAGTCCAGTATTTGGAGGCAGGAACCATTGGGAATGGCTGGGAATGCCATTGTCCCAGCTTTACACACTCAGGGGCCTCAGGAACAGAAATCCCTGGCCTGGAAGCTGCCTCCCCACCTAAGAGATGTTGTCCCCCATCCCCTCCCCTATTTGCCAGAGATCTGGGTTTTGAGGGCATTATAGAGGCAACCTGTTTTAATGCCAACCCTTCACCCTCCCCCACCACAGGCAGAGACAGCTGCCAACAGGATCTGCAAGGTGCTGGCGGTGAACCAGGAAAATGAAAAGCTGATGGAGGAGTATGAGAAGCTCGCCAGTGAGGTAGGGCCCAGAGAGACCCCCCACCACTCTCTCCCAGCCTAGCCCTCTTGAACCTTCTAGGCCTGCTGACCCCATGCCTGGGATGACAGATCCTTCTGCTTTGAGGATCTCTGGCCTCCTCCCAGTCCCTTCCTGCCAGTCCCCACCCATCACTAGTCCTTCTGTCTATCCAAGCTCCCAGTCATTCACTGATTCACTCAACACTCATTCATTACTCATTTATTGATCCATCCATTCATATTTAGGCAATCATGTGGCCCTTTGCTCTGCACCAATCTACATTAGCTCCTGGACTCAAAAATTACCCGTTACTCTCCTCTGCTGACTTGTGAGGACTACCCCATTCTGCCCTCCATAGTTGTACAGGTCACCCCCATGTACCAGAGGCTGGTCTTCTGGCCAGAGCTGGGGGGTGGGTGAAGGGTGGGTGAGGTGGCCAGGTCAGCTCTCAGCCTTACCCCTGCCTGGCTCTGGCAGCTGCTGGAGTGGATCCGCCGCACGGTCCCATGGTTGGAGAACCGAGTGGGTGAGCCCAGCATGAGTGCCATGCAGCGTAAGCTGGAGGACTTTCGGGACTACCGGCGCCTGCACAAGCCACCCCGCGTGCAGGAGAAGTGCCAACTGGAGATCAACTTCAACACTCTGCAGACCAAGCTGCGGCTGAGCCACCGGCCCGCCTTCATGCCTTCTGAGGGCAAGCTGGTCTCGGTGAGCCAGGCAGGCATGGAGGTGGCCTCAGCTCTGTTCACATCCCCTGGGTGACATTGGGCTTTGTGTCCCGATCTGTACAATGGGCAAACCATGATGCAGAGCACCTTGATCTGACCCACAGGACATTGCCAATGCGTGGCGCGGGCTAGAGCAGGTGGAAAAGGGCTATGAGGACTGGTTGCTCTCGGAGATTCGGCGCCTGCAGCGGCTCCAGCACCTGGCTGAGAAATTCCGGCAGAAGGCCTCCCTGCACGAAGCCTGGACCCGGGGTAGGTGCTCTTCTTGGGACTGGAGTTGCTTCTGGGTGGAGGCGGGTGGGCTGAGGGTTTGGGGGGGTGTCCTTGAAAAATGGGCAGGACAGAATAGGTACTTATCAGGGAAGCTGGAGACTGGAGTTCTAGACCCACCCTGACTTACTGTGATGTAGGCTGGGACTCTCTTTGGGCCATTATCCCTCTATGGGCCAGTTTATTTATCTGTAAACTTAGCCCCATTGCCCTGTAAGTCTGCTCTGATTATTTTGTTATTTAGCATTTTATTTGTACATATAGCTGGTGTGGAAAAGTAAGTCCATCATTAACCCTAATATCACCTGTCATACTCAAAGTATAGTGATGCTAAAATATTGCATAAATCAAATACAAATATCACTCTATATAGAAACATTCTCTCAGTCCCCTGCCAAGGATTTTAATCATACAAATCAATAAGTCCTGCCTAAAAATGGTTTTTAAAATCCCACTAATAATAAATTATGGGCTCGGTGTCCATAGCTCAGTTGTTAGGCTGGTGAGTTTGAACCCAGCCGGGGCCTGCTAAACAACAATGACAACAACAACAAAAAAATAGCTGGGCATCCTGGCGGGCACCAGTAGTCTCAGCTACTGGGAGGCTGAGGCAAGAGAATTGCTTAAGCCCAAGAGGTGGAGGTTGCTGTGAGCTATGATGTCATAGCACTCTACCAAGGGTGACAAAGTGAGACTCTGTCTCAAAAAAAAAAAAAAAAAGAATTATGGACATAATGAATACCAATGTTTTGGTATAATAAGAATTTGCAGCTTAATACCTTAAATTTGCTTAATTCCTCAAATCCTTAAATTTGCAGCTAGTTATGTGATCCTGGGGAGGTCTCTGAGCCTCTAAACCTCATTTATTTCCTCTGCAAAATGAGAAGCACTCAATAAATGGTTGCTACTGTTACTATTATGATTATTTTGGGTTTTATTTGTGTAATTATGATAATCATCATTATTTATTCATCCAACAAATATTCATGAAAGGTCTACGAAGCGCCAGGCATTGCGGCAGGTGCTGGGGAAACAGTTGGGGTTCATGGGGCTCACCAAGTCATTGAGAGGTCAAATAATTCCAAAACTGTATTGAGAGCCAGCCTGGACCTTGCTGGGTTAGGAGACATCATTTATGGGTCACACCAGGGAACAGAAACGACACCTAGTTTTACTACATTGGCGCCTCAGAGCAAACCCCTAGGGCAGGCTGGGCAGGTGTGATCACCTGCAGTCACAGATGAGGATGCTCCAAAGTCACATAGCAGGCCGAACTTGCTCCTGCCATGGCCGCTGCTGAGTGACGGCAGCCGGGCCTCTCTCCGAGCAGGCAAGGAGGATATGCTGAGCCAGCGCGACTATGAGTCGGCCTCGCTGCAGGAGGTGCGGGCGCTGCTGCGGCGCCACGAGGCCTTTGAGAGCGACCTGGCGGCGCACCAGGACCGCGTGGAGCATATCGCCGCGCTAGCCCAGGAGCTCAAGTAGGACCCTGACCTTTGGTGGCAAGTCCCGCCCTCTTTCCCACCGCTCTCCTCCCTATTACCCTCCAGCCTAGCCCTGGCTCGATGACCCCAGCGTGGTACCAGTGTCCTTCCCCATCACCACTCTCTCCGCCCCTCCTGGATCCACCCTATCTCCGGACCCCGCTCTGCTGCCCACACTTTTCGCTACTGGCTACTAACCTGTCCACTCCATGGCCTGCGCTCTAACCTGGCCGCTCCCTTCACCACGGGTGCAGGACTGCTACCCTAAACCCTCTTCGTCAGCCTCAGGCTGCCGCCGCCTCCTGTAAGACCGCCCCTTCTCGCATAACCCCGCTCCCAGGCGCCAGTCCCTGCCCTCCATCCAAGCACCGAATGGGTGCCGCCCTTCTGGTAGGAACCCTAGGAAAGCCCTGTTCCGCCCCCTGCCCCCCGCCCCCACCTGCCCTGGCTTCCTTATCCTACGGGTTCCAGCCCAGGGAGGGCAGTCAGGAGGAGACCGCCGTCTCACCCCACACTCCCTCATTTCTCCCAGCGAACTGGACTACCACGAGGCAACCTCCGTGAACAGCCGCTGCCAGGCCATCTGTGACCAGTGGGACAACCTGGGCACGCTGACCCAGAAGAGGCGGGACGCGCTAGAGGTGGGTCTGGGGACAGAGAGCTGAGGGGCAAGGATGGGTGAGGCAGCCCTGATGGGCAGGCTGCTGAGCTCCCATCCCCTCCCTAGCGGATGGAAAAGCTCCTGGAGACCATTGACCAGCTGCAGCTGGAGTTTGCCCGGCGGGCCGCACCCTTCAACAACTGGCTGGATGGTGCTGTGGAAGACCTGCAGGATGTATGGCTTGTGCACTCCGTGGAGGAGACCCAGGTGGGCTCCAGGGTTGGGGGAGGCTTGATGGCAATGGGATGACAGGGAAGCTGGCCCAATATCCTGTTGGTCACTGCCTGTGCTCCTGGGGAATGGAGGCAGGAGGAAAACCCCAGTTTCTAAGGATGCCTGAGTCTCCACTGGTGTTGGACCACTGGTGTCCTGAAGCTTGTTGCTGCTCCTGGGGTGGGGAGTGCTTGCTGATGGCTCCTGCCTGTTACCCCAGAGCCTGGTGACAGCCCACGAGCAGTTCAAGGCCACTCTGCCTGAGGCTGACCGAGAGCGAGGTGCCATCATGGGCATCCAGGGTGAGATCCAGAAGATCTGCCAAACGTATGGGCTGCGGCCCAGCTCCTCCAACCCCTACATCAGCCTCAGCCCGCAGGACATCAACAACAAGTGGGACAAGGTCAGTGCCACTTGTAGCCTTTTCCTGCCAACCCCTCCTTTATACCCTGACCACCCTGAAACCATGGATGTCCCAAAACACGGAATAGGGGTCTGCCACGGGCTCCACGTGGCACTGGTTAAGTAACCTTGCCTGTTTCAGCCTCATCTGTATAATGGCTGTAACAGCAGCATTTTCCTGTCAGGACTGATGTAAGTAGAATTGAGTCTTATGTGTGGACAAAACAACCTATGTTAGTTATAAATGTTGTCATCAGCTCCCATGTTACAGTTGAGGAAACAAGCCTACACTGCCTTGCCCAAGAGCTTTCCCAGAAGCCCAATAAGGCTCACAGGGGCTGAGTTAGAAGGGCAAGGAAAAGGACCTGTGGGCCCATCTCAACCCTAGAGCCACCTTCCAACCCCCAGAGCTGGCCCTACCACAACCACTCTCCTTCCAGATCCGAAAGCTGGTGCCCAGCCGTGACCAGACACTGCAGGAGGAGTTGGCACGGCAGCAGGTGAACGAGAGGCTCCGGCGACAGTTTGCAGCCCAGGCCAATGCCGTCGGACCATGGATCCAGGCAAAGGTGGAGGTGAGAGCTTGGATGGTGGGGCCAACCTGGGGGAGTGGGGCCACGGCTGAGCTACACGGAGCTGGGAACCCTCATGCTGTCTGGGTACCCCTGTAGGAAGTGGGGAGGCTGGCAGCAGGGCTGATTGGCTCTCTGGAGGACCAGATGGCTGGGCTGCGGCAGCAGGAGCAGAACATTATCAACTATAAGAGCAATATTGACCGGCTAGAGGGTGACCACCAGCTGTTGCAGGAGAGCCTGGTGTTCGACAACAAGCACACCGTCTATAGCATGGAGGTGGGACACAGCTTGCAGCACAGGGGGAAGCTGGGGTCATCGCAGCAGGACATGGCATGTGTGTCCGTGGGGGTCCCCAGTGCAGTTTGGCTAGGCCCTCTAATGTACTCCCAGTGATGCTGAGATCCAGCAATGGAAAATGACCTGTCCAGAGTCACAAAGCAGTGTAAAGCCAGGCCAGGATTGGCTGTAGCTAGTTGATCAATTCTTAATACATAAATCATCAGACTTTAAGGCAGGAAGAGGGGGTGGGGGCCACTCAGTGGAACCTCCAGGTGGAGACGAGGCCCAGTGAGGGGAAGTACTTGCCTAGGGTCCCTCAGTGGATTGGGGGTAGAGCTAGAGTCAGTGGCCAGGTGCTGGCCACCCACTGACTGTAACTGTCTCCTGCTCCCCAGCACATCCGCGTGGGCTGGGAGCAGCTGCTCACTTCTATTGCCCGCACAATCAATGAGGTGGAAAACCAGGTACTGACCCGAGACGCCAAAGGCCTGAGTCAGGAGCAGCTCAATGAGTTCCGGGCATCCTTCAACCATTTTGACCGGGTCAGCAGTGGCCCAGCTCTGTAGGGTAAGAGACTTGGGGGTTTGGGGAATTTGGACCAAGCCTAATGTCCACTCACACCCTTACAGAAGCGGAACGGGATGATGGAGCCCGATGACTTCCGTGCTTGCCTCATCTCCATGGGCTATGACTTGGTGAGTAGTCTGGACAGCCTCCCAGGAGTCCCATCAGTGCACTTGCTATGTACTGACCCCTCACACCCACACTTTCAAGGGACTAGCAAGAGCTCAGAGAAGTAAATTAACTTGGACCTAGTTCTGTGTGTCCCCCAAAGTCTGAGTTTGAAGCCTTCTGGACAGCCTCCCAGGAGTCCCATCAGTGCACTTGCTATGTACTGACCCCTCACACCCACACTTTCAAGGGACTAGCAAGAGCTCAGAGAAGTAAATTAACTTGGACCTAGTTCTGTGTGTCCCCCAAAGTCTGAGTTTGAAGCATTTTTACCTCAGAGAAACAGCACTACAGAGAGAGATGTAGCTCCAGAAAGAAAATCAGGACTAACTAGCAACCCAGGGCACCGCAGAGGGCAGGAAGCAGACTTCAGCCTAGCATAAAGAGCTGAGGTCTTTGGAGGAAGGGGACACACTGTCACGGGGATTGTACAAATGAGGCTGGCTCCCCGGGTGTCGGCATTCACAGACACAGTGCCTGGCTCCTATTCTCCAGGGGGAAGTGGAGTTTGCTCGCATCATGACCATGGTGGACCCAAATGCAGCTGGGGTCGTGACCTTCCAGGCCTTTATTGACTTCATGACCCGAGAGACAGCAGAGACTGACACAGCTGAGCAAGTTGTGGCCTCTTTCAAGATCCTGGCAGGAGACAAGGTGAGCCCCAGACAGTGGAGGGGCTGACAAGTGGGGGATGAGAGGCAAGGAACAGGCTTGTAGGCTCTTAACACCTCCTCTCCTGCAGAGCTACATTACCCCTGAGGAGCTGCGGCGGGAGCTGCCAGCCGAGCAGGCTGAGTACTGCATCCGCCGTATGGTATCCTACAAGGGATCTGGGGCCCCGCCTGGAGCCCTGGACTACGTGGCCTTCTCCAGTGCACTCTATGGGGAAAGTGACCTCTGACCTCCACCACTGAAGCTCTCCACGAAAGATGGAGGGAGGGAGCTCCCTGGGGCTGAGCCCATCTATCCCTCAGAGCAAGGGCCTTAGAGCTCAGCCAGCCAAGTTTTTCTGAATAAAGATCTATCTGTGGGCCTCTCCCCATCTCCTTTTAGTTCTTTAAATAGAAGCTGGGTCCTGGGGCTCTTGGGCAGGACCAGCCATGCCACCTTGACCACCAGGGATTCTGACCACCCCTCTGTGCCCTCAGGGACTGAGCACTCACACCACATTGGGGACCAGAACACCTCTTTATTGCTGTTAGAAGGGGCAGTTACAAGTATCCTAAGTCTAGAAGGGGAACCTGTCCCCAAACCTGGGGAAACTAGAAAATTTCTAGCAAATAGAGGAAAGCTGGGGCAGGAAACCAGAGCCTGCTGAGGACAGAGCTGGGTTTAAGATCAGAATATCTTCTTCTTGCCTATTACCCTAGTCCAGAGCTCGTGCCCTAGTGTCAGCCACCAAAAAATATTCAGCCCCAGAACCTCCTAGCTACTACAATGCAACAGGTGCAGGTGGGGGGCTGCGGAGTGGGAGTGGGTGGCAGGGAGTAGGGGCTATGCTAGCTGGGTGCCCTTTGCTCACCCCAAGTTACTTGGTGCTGGTCCCTCAGCCAGCTGGCCCTCTTGGGGAGGGGCCTGGACATGCAGGTCAGACTCGGGGAGGGGCTGCTCCTGTTGGCACCAGGTCCCGAGCCAGCGGGCTCCTCATTCCACCACTGCTGAGCTGGCCATAGTGTTCACTCCACAAGCCCCAGACCCACGGTGCAAGTAGTAGTAGCCCTGAGGGAGGGGGGAGAGGGGACTGGTGAAGGCACCAAGGTAGGATGGCACTTAAGAACTGTGGCCAAGCAGAAAAGACTCACCTGTTCGCCCCAGTCGGTGCCCCAGCTGTTCTTGATGGCCCAGAAGGGAATATCAGAGCCTGGGGAGCAGTGTGGGGTGCAAGAAGTCAGAGGCCCCCAATTCTACAGTCAGAGTCTCAAGCACATTGCACCCTTCAGATATCTGCGGGGGACCTACTGTTTGACAGGTACTGGGGAAAGAGCAAAAAGCAAGCAAGGCCCACCTGCCCCCCTCATGGAAACCTGGCCCAGTTCAGGGCAGGGGAGAGCACTACTCTTAGCAGGTTATTGAGCCAATCTCCCACAGCCTCAACCACCCTGGAGGGCATAGCTGACTCCTGCCTTGCCCACAGCCTGCAGCAGTAAGGACAGGGCTGCCAAGCATTCCCCTGATTTCCCCCTCTAAAGGTCCTAAGATGCTGTGGTCTGACCCCCTGTGGCCGAGGTGGCTGTACAGGCAGTCAGTGGAACTCACGGTTGCCATAGCCCACTATCAGTACAGCGTGGTCGATGAGCCAAGGGGTGCAGAGAGGCCGGAGTGGGCGCGATATCCCATGGCGGTAGAACTGGGGAGAAAGAAAGGAGTGGGGGGCCAGCTCTAAGGAGAAGTAAAGGAATCAGCAAGCGAGGGAGCAGGGGCAGCAGGTGAAGGCCCTACCTGCATGCCAAAGGCATTGATGGCAACGGAGATCGGGCCTTTCTTGGCCAGCCAGGCCGCCAGTTCTGAGGTGGGAGAGACAGTGTTAGGGAGCACCTATACCTAGCCCTACATGGCCTGGCCTCACTCCACCCCTCACTCACTTTGCTCATTATGGCTCAGCTCCACTGAATCATTGATGTAGACCTTGGCCTTCTCTGCTGAGAAGTTGCAGGCCTGCATTTGGCCCTGGTAGCTGTAGTCCTCTTCTGTCTCCAGCCCTCCTGGGGATGGAGGGAGTAGGTCAGGGGGTGGGTAGGATGTCTAAGCTAAGACTAAGCTAAGCCTCTTAGACATGAGGTCTTGTATTCCTCACCCACCCTAGGTTACAGGCCATTCCCTCTGAGGAGCACCCCCATTCTAGAAATGATACAACCAGGGATGGGATAGGTGAAGAGGAAAGAGCAACAACCAGCAAGAAAAGTAGCAGGGATAGAACTCAACTCCCAACTTCTGACTCCTTCCCAATGACTCCTCCCAGCATTCCTGGCACTCCTGACCTTGTTTTTCTTGTTCCACTGACTGTCCGCTCCTAATCTAACCTAGACCCATGACTAGCCACCTCAGTCCTTCAGACCTTCAGCCTTCCATCACTGCAGCCCACCACTGAACTGAATTGCCAAATTAGGTCAACCTCCCCTCAGGAGTGAGGTGTGTTGCTACCTGGCTTAGCAGCATTAGGGAAATACAGACCCCTCCCCAAGCATCAAATATACCAAGACCCCCTGCTCACCAAGTCCCTGCTATGAGCCTTCCTCATTTGACATTCAAAGTAGTCCTACAAGTTGGGCATGGTGAGCCCCATTTCACAGATGAGATAAGTGAGGCTCTGAAAGAGCTGACTTGTCCAAGGTCTTCAGCCAATAAGGGTCAGTAATTAAGACTAGAACCCAGCTCTGTGTGACTCCCATGCTTATGTCTCCTCCTCATACACTGACCTCCTTCAGAGGAAGAGGGGGCTCCTGTTGCCCTGCCTCACCCCACTGATGCATACCCAAATTCTTTATGGCTGAGTAGGCGTTGGAAGGCAAGCCACCCAGGCAGGCTTTGTCCATCTTGTCACAGTCCAAGAGCTCTAGGAGACAGAAGGCCAGTCCTAAGAAGCCCTCCAGAGGGGGTGGGGTGGGGACAACGGGAGCAAGTGAGATACTCACCCTGCTCAGAGAGGGACAGCAGGGTCCCCTGTTTCAGGAACCACTGGCCCTCCACATTGCCTGTGACTGAGAAAGCCCAGCAGGAGCCACACATACCCTAAGAGAAACGGGCTGAGTCAGGGTTGGATCCTTCTCTAGCTCCCATGCAGTGCTCATGTCCCACCTTGACTTCCAGGGGTCCAACCTGGTTCTTAACGTTAGTGACAGCCCCCTTATTTCTCCAGTCCCATTCTGGTGGGGCGGGGTCACCCACAGGCTTGGCTACACGCATCTTCTTGCCAGGATCTTCTCGTAGGAGAGGATTCAGGTAGATGGTACGGAACTCCTCCTCTGTAGAAAAAGGTGGCAGGGCATGGGAAGGAAGAGTATTCTAAGCCAGCCCTGACCAGGCACCTTGGGAGTAGGCCCTGTCTCTTCCATGCTCCACAATGGCTCTGGCCATCACTCTTACCTGTGAGATCACTGAACTTGGTAATCCCGTAACGAGCTGTGCCTTGATCCAGGGCCTGGATCTTCTGTGCTCGTACCATATTATTGATAAAGATGGACAGGCGCCACTGGGTTTCTGAAGACCAAGGATCAAGAGAGGAGGCCCTCAATCCCAGACAATTATACAAGGAGGGAAAATTAGAGCTAACAGGTAGAGGTTTCCCTGAGGAGTAGGTGCATTCTGGATCAGCCCTGAAGCTCTTCTCAAGAACAGAACCCTCGGGCAGGTGGAAGTCAGGGACCAGACTTGCAATTGATGAAGTTGGAGGTGTGATCAACTTTTGGGGCCAAACTGGAATGACGACTTCCCAGGTATGAAAACAGAAATCAAAGTGGGGAAAAACCATGGTACCAGGGAGCCTATAGCAGAGAAAATTTAGCTACTGCTCCACACCACCCTGCCCAGAATGATGGGAGGCCCATGATTTCTGACCAGGAAGATAAGATAGGATAAGGGGCTGGGTACTTGGGGTGGCTGCCCAGGAGAGCTTGAGGACTTAGGGAACCTTGAAAGGCACATCCTCTGTGCCCTTCCATTCCCCAACATCAAGATCCCATGTTGTGGGAGAAGGCCCTGATCTGATTCAAACAGGTACGGTCAAGGCTAGGTCCTCACCTTCCTTACTCTCGTATGTCCGGTTATAGGTGGTGAGAAAGTTCTTGAAGACTGAAAGCATCTGCATGGAAAAGTCCTGGAAGAACAGAAAGATCTTCACAAGGAGTTCAGCCTGACCAAGGAGCCCCACTGCAGGGTGAGGGAGGAGAAGCAGAATAAGGCAACAGGTGACTCTCCCAAGATATGGGCTCCTCACCTTGGATAGAGGACCCTTGTTCAACAGCGAAATGACTGAACTCAAAGTCTGGTTTTTCCCATCTGGATAGGGTAGGGACAGAGAGGAAATCAAGACTAAACTCTGAGTATCAAAGTATGATGGGGTTATCCCAGCATCCTTGGGCTATCCCAGCACCTGTAACCTTGGTATCCACTGGGCTGCAGTCCCTCCTCAGCAGCATGTGTTTTCCTAGCTCGTCCAGGATTTCAAAGCTGCAGAGCTGGAGGGAGAGGAAGAAACCAGTCTGGGGGTGGGATGGGAGCAAGGACTGGGCAAGACAGAACTAGAGGCTTTATAGATGAAGATAACCCCAAGGCACAGTGGAGAGCGAGGCACAGCGGGCACCCCCATGTCCTCATTTCCATAGTATCTTGGGATCCCTGCCTCAGATCCCCGCCTCTTCACCTGATCCTTCACCATCCAACCGCTGCCTGACTCAGCCTGGGGAGGAGAAAGGCTGGAGCCCCACCACTCACCAGAGTTTTTTTGGACACTGGGAGCTGGCACACCGTGGGGTCGTTGCAGGGTGGCTCCTCCAAGGACGCCTCCAAGGAGTACAGCGACCCCTGATCCGCCTGGACAGAGAAGCAGGTGTGGCAGACACAGCCACTCCCTCCCTAGCCCGTCCTTCACTGACCCAACAGCCCTACCGTGCCGCCCTCCCAACTCCGGGTCAGCAGAGGTTCATCTCTCCGCTGTCCAGGCCCCACATCACAGTCTAGGCCAAAATTCCCATCCGTCTCCGAGGGAGGCCCGGCCCCCAGCACGATCTCACCTGGCGGACGCGGCCGCGCACTGCTCGAAGCACCGCCTGGGTCCCCGGAGCCCGGTCCCGGTTGTACATCTCCAGGGCGAAGCGGGCGGGCTCCAGCAGCGCCGGGGACGGCGGCCCCCAGGCCTCAGCGCCGGCGCCTCGGGGCTTGGTGGGGGCCGGAGCCGCGCCCGGGAGCAGCCCCAACAGCGACAGCAGCTGCAGCCAGGGCGCCATGGCCAGAACTAAGCCGGCGGCCGGGACTCACAGACCGACAGACCCGCGGACCAACCGACCGGGCGGGAGCCCGCAGCCGAGGGGCCCGCCCCTCCCACCCGCGCGCTGGCCAATAGGCGCTTGCCTGGGGCGACTGCGCGGTCTCTTATTTACGCCAGGCACGTGGGGACGCCGGAGGATGAGGAGGGGCAGGTTGCCGGCTCGGGAGTAAATCTCTGGGCTCAAGTTTAGCGCTCGCTTGTCACATGCCGGGCATTACGTGCAGTTTCCCTTTATCCGTCTCAGGCAATCTCGCGAAGTAAGTACTATCTTCATCTTAAATTGAGAGCATAGAGGTCTGGAGAGATTAACTGCCTTGTCAAACATCTGTTAAGAGGAAGAGTGGATTGGAACAGCAGGTAGCTGCCTTCTGCCAAGCTCAGTTGCCTCTTTGAGGCCCTGCTTCCTACAGCGAAATGGTAGTGTCTCAGGCTGTTTTGAGAGCAAACGCAATCATGCACGCGTTTGATAACCGCTAAAGGGACGTGCACAGCTGGGTTGAGACTGTTCCTTCAGTCCTTTGCCCGCTGCGTTCCAGAGGCTGCCGAGAGGAAGCGTGTGCAAATGCCTTGGGCAGCGTGCTGCGTTGTTCCAGCTCACAGTCCAGTGGGCAGATGAGAAAGGACATTTTCCTGCAAGCTGGTCTTGGCTGGGAAAAAAGGAAACTGGGACAGGATAGTTAAAGGGAATTGGAGCAATCACAGAAGGGAGTCGGGGAAACTGATACGGATGTATTAGGGATCATCTAGTCCAAACCTGACTTGTGTTAGCAGAGGTCCAGAGGCAAATTCAACCTACCCAGAAATTAGCTCTGGAGCCAGCTCACTGTTCTGGTTGCCAGCTGAAGTCTGAGAGGGGAGGACCTGAAAGATTCCAGCAGATGCTGACTCCCCCTGCTTGTGCCCTCCCCTGGTTTAAGCAGGTCCTTATGTAGCTTCTAAGGCCCGTTGAGATCTGTTCTTAGCTGGGTCCTCACCCCATTCTGTGCACTTAACACTCATTCTGTTTACATCTCCCCAGAAGCTCAAACTCTTGCACACCTTGGAAACTTCACACTTGCTCTTACCTAGGTCTAACACCCAGACACCTTTTGTTTCTCAGTTTGGAATTCACTTCCTCAAGAAGACCTTTCCGACTCACCCTACCTGCCACTGGCTGGGCTCAATGTCATTGCCTCTTACCCTGCTAGATTCCTAGTCTTCCTGAATGTCTTCTCATCCTGGACTACAGTTTTCTGTTTGCTGATGGTGTTTGGTGTCCTCACTTGTCCAGGAGCGTCTCAGGGCAGGGACCCTGCTGCTTCTTGTCTCCCTCCATGCTCTTTCTTTAGCACCTAGCACAGTGCCTGACAAGCTGAACAGCTGCCTATTAAAGGTACATTGGGTGAATGAATGACTCCCTTGGTATGCCCTGGAGCAGATGTTCAATGTACAGTTCAACTGCTGTTCAATGTACAGTTTCCCTTTCCACTTTCCTTTTTTTTGTTGTTCAAGAGACAGGATCTTGTCCTGTCACCCAGGTTAGAGTGAAGTGGAATGGGCACAGCTCATTGCAACCTTGAACTCTTGGGCTCAAGTGATCCTTCCACCTCAGCCTCCTGAGTAGCTAAGAATATAAGCATAGGCTGCCACACTTGGCTCTATAACTTTGCTTTCTGGAACAGTGATTCTCAACCTTCCTAAGGCCGCAATCCTTTAATACAGTTCCTTATGTTGTGGTGACCCCCAACCATAAAATTATTTTTGTTGCTACTTCCTGTAATTTTGCTACTGTTATGAATCGTAATAACAGGAGACCCCCAAAGGGGTCATGACCCACAGGTTGAAAACCGCTGTTCTAGAAGGATGAAGACTGTGAATATGGTCCTTCCAGTCCTCTCAGAGGAATCTCAAAAATTGCCTGCTATCATAGCCAGACTCCTACCTCCACACACACACACTTCATCTCTTGAAAGGTCTGAAGCTGAGGGCAGCTCCTGTGCCTCAGTGAGTAGGGCACTGGTCCCATATACTGAGGGTGGTGGGTTCAAACCCAGCCCCAACCAAACTGCAACAAAAAATAGCTGGGCATTCTGGCAGGCGCCTGTAGTCCCAGCTACTCAGGAGGCTGAGGAAAAAGAATCACCTAAGCCCAAGAGCTGGGGGTTGCTGCGAGCTGTGATGCCATGGCACTCTACCAAGGGTGACAAAGTGAGATTCTGTCTCAAAAAAAAAGTAAATAAATAAGTTCTGAAGCTGAAAGGATTAAAACGGGTTTCTAAGACCCTGGCAGAGATGATGCAATTTTTTTAATATCTAGGTTTCCAGAGATCTGCATTGGTATCAGACTTAGACTTTATGGGAAACTGTCATCTTCCCTTGAATCTGTTCCCTGGACACTGGAGCTGTCTGACAAGTATCTCTGGGGAAGAGTGTCTCATCTTGCCAGGGTGACACATGAGAGCATAATTATAATTAATGTAGTGAAGAGGAGGAATTTTTTTTTTTTTTTTTTTTTTTTGGCCAGGGCTCAGGGCTGGGTTTGAACCTGCCACCTCTGGCCTATGGGGCTGGCGCCCTACTCTTTCAAGCCACAGGCATTGCCCAGGAATTTTTTTAATAGCACACACATATTACCTTGGCAGTTCTCACAGTCATGCAGGAGAGAAATGCACAATTGGAAAAAGAGGACACAGAAGCCCAGGGACATGCTAGCATTTAGAAGCTGAGCTGAAAAGAGGGAGCAGAGGAGGCTGGAGAGGAATGGATGTTGAGGGAAGAGGAAAACTAGAAAGAAAGGGTGACGTTAAAGCAGAATAAGAGAATATATTTTATTTCAAGAACGAGAAAGTGGCTGGCTGTGTCAAAAGCCACCAGGAGGACAGGTAAGATGAGAGAGAAGTGACCTTTAGATTGGGCAACATGTAAGTTATTGGGACCTCATTAAGAGCAGTAAGTTACTGTTGTTATTCAACATGGTACTCGCGAGAGCAATCAGATAACAGAAGGAAATAAAGGTGTCCAAATTGGAAAGGAATAAGTCAAATTATCTTGTTTGCAGACAGTATGATCTTAGTCCATAAAAACATAAATACTCCAGACACAAAAAACCTATTAGAACTGATAAACTCAGTAAAGTTGCAGAATACAAAATCAACATTCAAAAATCAGTAGCATTGGCTTGGCGCCTGTGGCTCAAGTGGCTAAGGCACCAGCCACATACACCTGAGCTGGCAGGTTCGAATCCAGCCCTGGCCCGCCAAAACAACTATGATGGCTGCAACCAAAAATAGCCAGGCATTGTGG